CACTATTAGTAGCTCTATATATCTACTTTATTGTGTTAAAATTTCAATGCAATATCGAAAAAAATGTTTTTTAGTCCACATCGCAAAAACAAGAGCTGATTGAGCAAAATGATGTTCAGTTTTGGATTCAGCGTACCTAAATTACCATTAAAAAGTTGTTGGTTGCTATGCACCATAAACCTTAAAAATTATTTTTAGTATTTCAAAACTGTTTTGAAGCGAAGTATAAAATTTTATTTGCAGTCAAAAGCTGGATCGTAAAATTAAGAATATCATAAAAGTTAAGCTATTTTACCGATTAATTGAGTGTATTGAAGAATCTTGGTACGTTATTTATAGAGCTTCGAGTTTACTGCAAAATTGTCCCTAAACATTTTTCCTACAATGAATATTATAATATTATATTATGCAGAATAATAAAAATAAGATTTTTGGCACTTATAACTTTTGAACTGTAGGTAAAATTGTAGGTGAAATTGTTTAAAACAAATTTATAGAGCATTAAAAGATCTTCAAAATTGCTAATTAACTTTTTTTTCTACGATTAGTACTTTAACCGCTAAATGTTAAAATATCATTTTTTTTAGAAGTTATACGTTTCAACGTTAATAAAAAAGAAAGAGTTGGACTTTGTAAGATTTTTTGTTGATAATTTAATGCTAAAAAAGGACCAGTGATTTTTTATCAAAAAAAAGTTCTATATAGCCTGCAGGTGAAATAAATCTTAAAAAACTATTTTTCTATGTTAAATCAATGGGAAAACTTTAAATTCAATGATGGACCTTTTAAAATTAATATTAAGAGCTCAAATTTTGACAGAATTTTTTTTAGCATGAGTGACGACAATTTCACATGAATTTGAAAAAAGAAAAATATTGCCTTATTTTGAAACACCCTACACGGTGCTGTTCTGAGAGGTGATTTTTGGACCTAATTTTTTTTTATATTCTTGTTAATTAGGTCATAACTAAAATTTTAAGAGCAAAATAAAAAAAAAATTGACGGTTAATTTTGTTTTAATTGGATGTGTATTAAAAATATGTATGCACACTTTCAATTTTCCAATTAAAACTTGCGATTTTATTTAAATATTATCATAACATAACTTTTTAAATCAGATTAAAAATTAGTTAATTTCCTAAAAAAACGTCCATACATTTTTTATATCTTTTACTGTTTTGTTGTAATACACGTTTAAAGTTTTAATTTAAGGTTAAATGTATACTATACATTTATTAAACAATAATTCTAAGGGTGCCACATTTTATTTAGGGCCGATTTATTCATTTTTGATTTATTTGACGAATAATTTCTTTGGATACTAGATATTGCCAAGACATGAAAGTTATCGGCCCGATAAACTTTACTAAAGATGAATAAACCGGTCCTTAGTTAAATTTCATGAATTTCTTCGTATTTTTTACTACAATTTTTCATTTTTGTTTATAAAAAACACTTTAAAAAACTAAACAAAAATTATAGAATACGTATACTGAAAATGACAGTTCAAACGTCAAATAAATTTTTAATTTAGTTTCATGGCAACCTTTAAGGATATATTAATTAAGGGAACATAAATGTATACGTCAAAGGTTAGATTAAAAGTTTGAACGTTTATTGCAACAAAGCAGTAAAATATATAAAAAAAAAATTGTCAAAACTTTTTTTTTAGTTATGCAAATATTAAATATTTAAATTAAATCGCTAGTTTTAATTGGATAATTGAAAGAGTGCATAATATTTTTAACAAACAGCCAATTAAAACAATTCAAACGGTCAAATTTGTTTTATTTTGCTCTTAAAATTTTAGTTATGACCTAATTAACAAGAATATAAAAAAATAGGTTTCACAGAAAGTACAAAAATCACCTCTCAGAACAGCACCGTGCCTAATATATATATATATATATATGGACGTTCACAATAGAAACTATTTCCAATCGAGCTAAAGTTTTCGCTTGTGTAACAAAGTGAGATTTAGGCCGTTAATCGGTTTCAATGGGCTCCCCATTCGAGATTCAGACTTGATAATCAATGAATGGATGGTTTTTAGGCATTTTAACTTTAGCGATAGCTTTCTCAACAAGTCGAACGGACTAAATTAAACTTTAGAAACGTTTTTATTCGATTTCGAATTTAAAATATTAGGGCCTAGAAAACAAGTTGTCGTTCTACCCCACTTTACTGTATAAAAGAAGATCCAAGATCTCTATGATTTATTGCCGAACATCGAGTCGTACTTCCTGTTTATAGTGTTGCCAACAACAACCCACACACGACTGCTATCTTATGGAAAATAAATGAAAAACATGATTTATGGCGGAATAATCCGGTTTATGTATGTTGATTGTTAAAAATCTTGACAAGTGATAAAGATATAGGAAATGCTGAGTCCACTGCATATACACAGTAAAAAATGTTGCCCTTGTAAATTTTTTAGTGTTTATTAACTTTATTATACAAATTTAAAGAATATGAACATTATTCATTGGTACATTCACACTATTTAAATAAATCAAAAGGGTAGAAAAACTTAATGCCAGTATTTATTACCCCTTAATGTGTTAAATAGTGACAAAATGTACACTACAGTGCATGCCAATTTCTTTGTCTGTTTTGATGGTACTAAGAGCTCTTTTTTCTTTACACTACTAGTGCACATTGTATCACAATTAAAGTTAAATTACACCAATAGTGGCAAATAGACTGAAAAAACTGGTAATAACCGAAATGCGTTTTAAAATGTTTGGTTGGTACCTATCTACCCACGCAGTGCATATCCGGAAATACCGCGTTGTGGAAGTGGGGCATTTTTGTTCAATTAGATTTTAATTACGGTGAATACATTATTTTTTGGTAAGTATTATACTTCCTTTTTCTTTAAGCCTTAATACTCAATAAATACCAATATGTTAAAAGGATGTCCATACCCGACCTATATTATATATCAATAATTTACGGCAGTAGGTCGGGTACTTGTAACATTAATAATATAAATACATACACACTTGATTTACTTTTTATTTTCAAGCCTAATGGTTGTTATATTAACCTATACCTACATTTTTATTAATATTATGGAAAATTTGTAAATGTGTGGTAAATCCCCGACATACAGCCGCCTGACGCCTCTCTACCAATGGGATCACCCATTTTTTATAACAGAAAAATGGATTACTGATGAATTCTCAAGATAATTCATTGCTTAAAAGTTGAGATCCAGTAAACATTGCATTGATCTAAAACTTTTACGTTTTAAGGAACCATTTTGCTTAATCCAGCCATACGACTCAAATATAAAATTATATTTAAAGGCATCGATTTTGATAATTGTCATAGATTTTTGTTCCAAATAAATGTTTCTCTTTATTTACCTTTTCGTTTTATTCACTACCACTAATAGGTTTTGCTCAAATAATAGTGTTAATTTACACTAAAAGAGTTAAGTACCTTTCTAAAATTAGAACTTTTCCAAAGTAGTGTTAATTTACACTGAACAAAAGTGGGATTTTACCCAGGAAGTGTAGAAGTACACGATTTTAGGTAAATTACCACTTTTTAATACAGTGTAAAATTACTTTATCCTCAGTGCTATAGTGTTAAATCATACTTGCTTACTTGGGAAAAATTACACTACAAATTAACTCTAATTGTAGTGTTATAAAACAACACTATTTAGCGTGGACCTGTGTGAACTCTAATTAGTGTTGCTTAGAGTTGATTTTTGTTACTGTGTACAGTGTAATAATATTATACAGGATGAAAACCTTAACTGTAAGTTTACACCCTGTATAATTCCATTATATTGCCATTGTTTAAAACCTTGATAAGTCCTTAATCCTTCAGCTATGTTCATGATGTACTGTCTGCTAAAGTTTAAGCCTTAAGCCCTTGAGTCAACATTTCAAGGTAAACGTGGCAACCTGGGTAAACATTTTAATTAACTATTTTGGATTAACCGAGATGATCCAAAGTAAAAAAAACGCGTGTAGTAGGCCAAGGTTCCCTCAGTGACATCCAGTTTCTTAGAGTGTTTTAAAAAATAGCTGGATAATCTCAAAACATAAGTCAATTTTATATTCTGTAACTTGGCAAAATTTAATTTTATGTTACTATTGTTTTTAAATAATAAATAATTATTATATTAATTTACTAAATCATTATTTAAATCAGTTATAAACAGGAATATAAATTGCATTCACCTGTAAAATTTAATCGATGTATTTTCGCGTATGTGTATCAATTAGCTCATTTCGATAGAAATAATTAAATTTTAGGCACGTTATTTAAAACGTCAACACATGTCCTCTGTTTTGGTGAAATATGTCGCCCATAAAACCGTTTTTAACGACTTAAAAGTCCGCAGAATATAGTTATTTCGACCGAAATTTATGTGTGGTAAAGTTTCGAGCTGAAATTTAATTTGTTTAATTATTTATTTATTTAAATTCGATTTTGGTTGCAATTATAAATATTTGTTAGAAATTAATAACATGTTTTTTCTTTGTTTATAATACTGGTTTACACACAGAAAAAAAGCTATTCTATATTATAGATTAATAATCTCACCATTCTGCAAGTATAGATACTTTATGAAGAGCATATTATGTGTATTACTTTCATAAAAACAGGATTTCTTGTGACAAAAGTGGGTTTTATTAAAAAGATTAAGATTAAAAATTGGGCTTAAATTCTGTCGAAAAGTTTTGGAAACTTTGAAAGGTTTTCTTTAAGTAGATATAAGAGAAATAAAAGAAATAAATGTATTTGTTATCGAAACGTATTAAATGTCTTAAATTGAAATAAGAACTTCAAGCTTTAGATGCTCCTTAAATGTTATCGTGCACAATGGGCCACTGCTTAGATTTTAACACTTAATTTTATTTGTTTAATAATTTTAATAACAAGTATAAATAGTTTATTTAATTGATTTTTGCGGTTCAAATGGCCGATGAACCTTGTTAGAATTTTAAAGTACAACTAATAAAAGTTTTGCTTACCAATTCTGAAGAGACTCACCTGTAAGAAAAAAATAATTATTAATAACTACTGTTTTAATTAATTTTTTAGTAATATACATATCAATACATTTTAATATCAATATTATTAAGGTAAAATCCACAAATTTAAAATTATTTTTTTAAAAATTTTCTTATTTACAGTAAACAATTTTGCTAGTAAATTTTATTATCTATAAAAAGGTGCTTATCAATTATTGCATAAATATTGCAGTTTTAGAGATAATTGGGATTTTTCAAGTGAAAATGATTATTTTTTATTTTTGGTTGTTTCATTGTTAGTCTAGAATGGGGTTTATGGGAAGCCACCAGGTCTAACATAAGTGGTTCTGCACTAATGCAAGAAATCATACATTTTGAATATTAGAGCTTCACGGCAGAGCTTCACGGAGGTAAGGATTTTGTATGTTTTTTTAAACATCCCTTCGTATATTTGAAATAAGTTATTGTTTCTTTTGACACCTTAATATTTTTTAAAAATACACTTGTACATACATAAAATATGTATACAAAAAATCTACTTACTGAGATATTACTCTTTACGGTGGATAGGTTTTTAAATAGCAAATTAATGAACTTAATTAAACTGTTGAATTATAAAACAGCAACACTCTTATCTGCATATAAATTCTAACTGACCTTTAGGAATCAGATGCATCTATAATGTCGTTTTTTAATTTTTTTTCCAAATTATAAATTTTATTTTTATACGCTTGTAATTATACTTTTCTCTAATATAATTAAGGATAATTTTCACTTTTCTACAGTATAATGTTATTCTATAGTCTAGGTATTTAGATAAATCCTATTACTCGATGAAGAAATATTTCAATGATGATCTTTATCCATACTGTTTATTATATGAATTTTTTTTTATTTATTATTTATTATTATGTATAAGTGTTTCTTAACATGCTAAAACTAAATACAAAGTCAATGATTAGAGTCGATTTTACAGTTACGTAACTTTTACTGCATCGTCATTAGAATTTTTTTCCTGTGGACAATACCAACTTCAACAATAACATAAAGCAACAACTGCAATATGTAGTAGCAGACTGTGGTAAATTGGGCACAGCCACAATAATTATTATACAAGTCCTATTAAGATGCATTGTAAATGAAGACGTCGGTGGCAGGCAACAGCCAAGACTTCGCTCGGGTGAAAAGTTTTTAGGCCCTTAGGGCACAGATTAATTAGGTCATTTTGTATTGCTGCTGCTGCGGCTGCTCCAAATGCTTCATAGACACCACAGACCTATGCCCTAATTCAAGGTTTTTTGTATTCATTCTTTAAGTTTTTTCGTCTGTAAATAAAAAGCAATTTATCTGAACCAATTTTATTACAAAAATAAAGAAAAATTTATTAAAACAACTTTTACAGAAAACAGATTACAAAAAATGTGAATTTCTCTGAGAATAAACTTTACAATAAATTAGAAATTAGGAAGAAATAATAGGATAATAATTTGGACAAAATCAAATTTAGTTATTTACTTAGTTTGCATGTCAATAAGTGTCAAACAAAGTGAAATGTCATAATATATTATAGATTTTTCGCGAAATTGAAATGAACATTTTGGAAGAGGAGCTACCATATAACATCCTGGAGGCAGCAAATACTGTAAATGAGAATTTATTACCAGCGAAATCCTTTCAAAAATATGAGAAACAATTTAAACATTTTGAAAACTGGTGCAACAACGAAGGGACAAAAAGTTTAAAGGAAGAAGTATTTCTGTCCTATTTTGCGGATTCAAGAAAATCATATCAGCAAAATACTTTGAGAAGTAAGTACTCCATGTTAAAAAGTTCCTAAAAGTTAATAAAATTAATATAAATTAACGTCATATATAAAAGGGAAAATGTAGGATACCGACCAAAAAAGTCCAAAATTTTCAAGATTCATTAAAGAAACATTAGATAAAATATTCCTTTTAATAAAAGTTGCCACTATTTTTGGGTTGTCTGGTGCTTGTAGGCGAGAAGAGCTCTCAAAAATTGATGATATAGAAGATAAAGAAAATTTGGAAATCGTGAAAATTTCGGACAGTAAAAATTACACATCAAGAATTTTTGTGATATCTGATGAAATCAATAATGGCCATTACTTAACTGTTTCGAAAATATTCAAATTTGCGAAAACCAAATATCAAGCGGTTTTTTCTCAATTATAAAAGAAGAGCATGCCCTACCCAATGTGCAGGAGTACACAGGTCATAGTTTTCGTAGATCCTCCGCTACCATATTAGCCGATTCTGGGGAAGGAATTTCCAATGTGCTCTCGCCGAGAGCTACATAGAAGAATCCATAACCCAAAAAAATTATCAAATAAAATATTGGACATAAAACTACTTTCTTGTAATAACTCCTTTAGAACTATAAATTCTTTAAACTATTTTAAATCTCAATGATCATTGTTTCAGTAGGAAAGATTTATGATGAAGTTACTTAGAGAAGCAGGTATATTTCTAATTCCTGGAATAGCTGAAGGTTTCGAGAATAGAATCTCCCTTTTTTAAAAGTCCATCAGAAAGATTACGTGACTAAGAGTTTTAAGTGAAAATTTAGTAAACTTGCCAGAAGAGAGTTCGCTAGTTTAATCGTTTCAAGAAATTGCTTTGCTGATAGTCAACACCTCCTTATTAAAAGTTTAACAGTGTGTTTCATATCTTAAAATAAATACTTTTAGGATTTGCCTTAGAGATTAGAAACGATGTTTAAGTACTCAAGTGGGTCAGTAATGATTTTTCGTTTAAAAATTATACTTTATCGCAGCGTTTCGCTCAATCAAGACGGCGCTGGTCCTTGGACGATTTCCAACGGAACAGGAGTGCCAAATCTGAACCAAACAAATGACAATCGTTAGCAACAGCAGTTCCAAAAAATCCCTCAAGATCACGGGCGGGTCCCGCTAGCATTAATAAAATTTTTGCTGCCGCTCGCTCGTATAAATCGTCTCCACTTTTTTAAATTAAATCTGTGGAAAGCACTCAATATACAGGGTGCACCAAGTATCCTTCTATGTATGGGTATTTTTTTTTGACGAAATATTTTTATTTTGAGTGAAAAATTTTTGGTAAACAAAACTTATTTTAAAAATAAAAAAAGTTTTTTTGATAAACACAATTTTTATTCATTTTATTTTCCACAAAAAGATTCGCATAATTATTGTAGTTCCAGAGATAATCGCCATAACAATTTAATAAATCCAAAATTTTCACATAATAATAATTAATAATTACTTTTACCAACAAATTGCATTAGGGTGAATCTCACAAAATGTCCCCCGATAGTGTTACCTCGTAATTTTTAATAAAACTAAATGAGTCTGACCTACACTTTTATTGTGTTTTGATATTAATTAATTATTTGTACAATGTTTTAAAAGTCTAAAACCTGTTACTCTTTCTAGGTTAACCTATATGTTTTTAAATATTATTCAAAATTTAAAGAAATAATTTTTATAACCATTTTTGTAGGTGTTACAAAAATTGATTCTATCCTCCGTGAATCTGTTTTTGCTTTAAATTTTATGCAACGGATGGCGCTTTAATAATTTTAAATAATCATTGACTTTGTATTTAGTTTTGGCATTTTAATAAACACTTATACATAATACATAATAATAAATAATAAATTAATGCAAATAAATATTTCATATAATAAACAGTATGGATAAAGATCATCATTAAAATATATCTCCATCGAGTAATAGGATTTATCCAAATACCTAGACTATAGAATAACATTATACTGTAGATAAGTGAAAATTATCCTTTTACAAGGTCGGTTGTATTAGAGAAAAGTATAATTACAAGCGTATAAAAATAAAATTTATAATTTGGACAAAAAAACGAAAAAACATTTCAAAATCCAAAACTTCTAGGAATTAAAAAAAAGGTTTTACATGTAAACATACACTAAAATCTACATTTTCATACCATCTTTTGTTTTAATAATGGCCGTTGATTTTTTTAACCATGTAAAATTTAAATAGGAAAAATCAAAGAAGGAAATTTACAAATTAATGAGGATTACAACGATATTTGGTTTTAATAAGTTTCCGGTTTTTTTCAATTTTTAATGCCATTTTAATAGGCAATAGGCAATTGCAACTTGTCTCTAATTTAACCGACCTTGTAGCACTTCAAATAATATACCCATATATAGAAGGATACTCTTTATATTAGACTGTGTGTTATTTTCCAAATTGTTTTTTTACTTTGGTATCATTTAAATTGTTTCTTTAGTCCAATAACCATTTTGCTAATAGACATGCAACAATATAAAACCTTTTTACTTTTTGACCTTTGACCTTTGACCTTTAACAAACCATTTTTCATAGATAATGTAAAGTAACTACTAATTTTACGCAAAAGAAGTCGCAGGTAACAGCCAGTTTTTAATAATAATAATAATCTATTAATCCCGGCGCATCCACCATTTTTGAACAGCATAATTTTTTAAAATTTGTTTTTTAAAAAGTACGAATTTATTAAATTCTGTTTTTATGATAATTTAGATAATTTTTTGTTTTTTTTTACAATTTAAAAATTTAAAGTTTGATTTTGCGGTTCTAAAAAAAATAAAAAAAAATCCTAGAAAAAATAAAAGTTAAATATTTAAATACTAAATAAACAAAATTAAGTTATATTAATCCCGGCGCATCCACCATTTTTGAACCGCATAGTGTAGATTTTTATAAAAACAATTTGTTTATTTTTTAAAATTTGTTTTTTAAAAAATACGATTTTATTAAACTCTGTTTTTTATGATAATTTAGACAATTTTTTTGTTTTTATTTTACAATTTAAAAAATTTAAGGTTTGCTTTTGCGGTTCTAAGAAAAAATAGAAAAAATCCTAGAAAGTAACAAAGAAAAAATTAAAGTCATAGAAAAAAATTAAAAGTTAAATATTTAAAGAGCTAAATAAACAAAATTAAGTTATATTAATCCCAGCGCATCCCCCATTTTTAAAACGCATAGTGTAGCTTTTTTATCTTTATAATTTTTTAAAATTTGTTTTTTAAAAAATACGATTTTATTAAATTCTGTTTTTTATGATAATTTAGACAATTTTTTGTTTTTTTACAATTTAAAAAATTTAAGGTTTGCTTTTGCGGTTCTAAGAAAAAAATCCTAGAAAGTAACAAAGAAAAATAAAAGTCATGAAAAAAATTAAAAGTTAAATATTTAAATAGGTAGCTAAATAAACAAAATTAAGTTGTATTAATCCCGGCGCATCCACCATTTTTGAACTGCATAGTGTAGCTACAATAGCTACAATTTGTTTGTATCTTTATAATTTTTTAAAATTTGTATTTTAAAAAATACAATTTTATTAAATTCTATTTTAATGATAATTTAGACAAATTTTTGTTTATATAGAATATTTTTGACAGCTTTCTTGTAAATTTCGGTTAAGAAGAGCCATCATTAAACTATTTAAACGATTCATTTTAATAATACAAATCTAAAAATTAAAAATTTTAAAAACAAACCCCTCTATCTTTAAATAAACCACCCTCGACCAAAATTCAACAAAACTTGTGCAGATTTCTGCAACCGTATTCTTGTGCTTACCTTAAAATGCGGCCGGCAAAGCAGATCCCTGAGTTCCTGCAGGTCCCTGTGGTCGGTGTCGCGTCGGTTTTCCAGCTCCCGTAGGGCGTCGGCGGCGTCGCGGGCGCACTGAACGGCGTCGCTCGGCGGCGCGCGTACAGGCGCCGCCACCTTGCTGCCGATACGGTCGAAAAGCTGAAAGGAAACGTGCAGAAAACTGTATTCTGTTGCTTGGGAGGGTAAAATGTAGATGGAGTTGGTGGGGTGACATTAGATTTTTTTATTTAAGCTTGTTTAAAAGAAATGCAAATTTCATTGTTGAAAAAAATAAAGGTAATTAAAATAGAGAAAAAAACATACATTTAAAAAATATATACTACCTAAATATAACAGAAATGTACATAAATCGGTATGAGTTTAGGTAAATCAAGTAAAAAGCTAACAAAACAGTTTAAAAATGTAAAAAATATTTGAATGGCGATTTTTGCCATTGGCCAATTTATTTTTTGCAAGTTATGTCATCCCGGCGCATTCGCCATTTTTGCAAGTTTTTTTAAAGCAGGTAAAATATGTAATTAATTGTTATAAATTTCATTGTAAAAATTATATCTTGTTCATGTAATTTTTCTTTAAATATGGTTTTAAAATTTCAGGAAAGATTGACATAGAGAAGAAAGACCGATTAATTGGGAAATTTTCAGAAATTTTCTTCCAATTTTTTCGTTTTTTTACACATTGAAACCCTAGTCCTAAATTAATAGGATACAGAGCAACAACAGCAGACTATTTAGGTTAAAACAATTCGATATATAATTATAAATTTTATTGAAACTTGTCCCATACAAAAGTTAATATTAATGCCGTTTGACAAAATTATTTAAAGTGAAACTTGCAGAAAACTTTATTCTGTTATTTTTGAGATTAAAATGTAGATGGAGTTGGTGGGGTGACATTAGAATTTTTTTATTTAGGCTTGTATAAAACAAATGCAAATTTCATTGTTGAAAAAAATAAAGGTAATTAAAATAGAGAAAAAAACATACATTTAAAAAAATATGTAACTACTTAAATATAATATAAATGTACATAAATCGGTATGAGTTTAGGTAAATCAAGTAAAAAACTAACAAAACAGTTCAAAAATGTAAAAAATATTTGAATTGCGATTTTTGCCATTGGCCATTTTATTTTTTGCAAGTTATGTAATCCCGGCGCATTCGCCATTTTTGCAAGTTTTTTTAAAGCAGGTAAAATATGTAATTAATTGTTGTAAATTTCATTGTAAAAATTATATCTTGTTCATGTATTTTTTTTAAATATGGTTTTAAAATTTCAGGAAAAATTGACATAGCGAAGAAAGACAGATTAATTGGGAAATTTTCAGAAATTTTCCTCCAATTTTTTCGTTTTTTTACACATTGAAACCCTAGTCCTAAATTAATAGGATACAGAGCAACAACAGCAGACTATTTAGGTTAAAACAATTCGATTTATAATTATAAATTTTATTGAAACTTGTCCCATACAAAAGTTGATATTAATGACGTTTGACACAATTATTCAAAGTGAAACTTGCAGAAAACTTTATTCTGTTATTTTCGAGATTAAAACGTAGATGGAGTTAGTGGGGTGACATTAGAATTTTTTTATTTAAGCTTGTATAAAAGAAATGCAAATTTTATTGTTGAAAAATATAAAGGTAATTAAAATAGAGAAAAAACATACATTTAAAAAATATGTAACTACCTAAATATAAAAGATATGTACATAAATCGGTATGAGTTTAGGTAAATCAAGTAAAAAACTAATAAAACAGTTTAAAAATGTAAAAAATATTTGAATTGCGATTTTTGCCATTGGCCATTATATTTTATGCAAGTTATGTAATCCTCGCGCATTCGCCATTTTTGTAAGTTTTTTTTAAAGCAGGTAAAATATGTAATTAATTGTTGTAAATTTCATTGTAAAAAATCTTGTTCATGTAATTTTTTTTTAATATGGTTTTAAAATTTCAGGAAAAATACACAAAGCAAAATTTTTGTGAAAAATTTTTACGTATTGAGAAAAAAGTAAATTTCCGACGCTGATTATAATCATATAAAATTATGACGACTATAATAATTATTCCATTTATTTTAATTCAGTAAAATCTTTTTTTTCTACCAGCCCGCAAAATAACATATTTGGTGCTTATAATTTTGTAATTTATCTTTAATTCATTATTTTGTGATTGTATATTTTCAATGGACTTCTTTTTACAAAAAGGATCCAACCGACAGTATTTTTAACGTTTCCTTTAATTTTATTTTATTCAATTAAATTCAATTTAGCTTTTTTTCTGGAATAAAAAGTATTTTTTTAAGTAAGATAATGTTAAGATGTTGTTTGCTACATTTTGTATATTTGTGTAAATTTTCGAAAATTTTCCAAAACATGGGAAAATCGAAAAAAAAAGTTTTCCTCCAATTTTTCCGGGTTTTTTTGACACTTTAAAACCCTAGTCCTAAATTAATAGGATTCAGAGCAACAACAGCAGACTATTTAGGTTAAAACAATTCGATATATATAATTATAAATTTTATTGAAACTTGTCCCATACAAAAGTTAATATTAATGCCGTTTGACAAAATTATTTAAAGTGAAACTTGCAGAAAACTTTATTCTGTTATTTTCGAGATTAAAATGTAGATGGAGTTGGTGGAGTGACATTAGAATTTTTTTATTTAAGCTTGTATAAAACAAATGCAAATTTCATTGTTGAAAAAAATAAAGGTAATTAAAATAGAGAAAAAAACATACATTTAAAAAAATATGTAACTACTTAAATATAATATAAATGTACATAAATCGGTATGAGTTTAGGTAAATCAAGTAAAAAACTAACAAAACAGTTCAAAAATGTAAAAAATATTTGAATTGCGATTTTTGCCATTGGCCATTTTATTTTTTGCAAGTTATGTAATCCCGGCGCATTCGCCATTTTTGCAAGTTTTTTTAAAGCAGGTAAAATATGTAATTAATTGTTGTAAATTTCATTGTAAAAATTATATCTTGTTCATGTATTTTTTTTAAATATGGTTTTAAAATTTCAGGAAAAATTGACATAGCGAAGAAAGACAGATTAATTGGGAAATTTTCAGAAATTTTCTTCCAATTTTTTCGTTTTTTTACACATTGAAACCCTAGTCCTAAATTAATAGGATACAGAGCAACAACAGCAAACTATTTAGGTTAAAACAATTCGATTTATAATTATAAATTTTATTGAAACTTGTCCCATACAAAAGTTAATATTAATGACGATTGACACAATTATTCAAAGTGAAACTTGCAGAAAACTTTATTCTGTTATTTTCGAGATTAAAATGTAGATGGAGTTGGTGGGGTGACATTAGAATTTTTTTATTTAAGCTTGTATAAAAGAAATGCAAATTTCATTGTTGAAAAATATAAAGGTAATTAAAATAGAGAAAAAACATACATTTAAAAAATATGTAACTACCTAAATATAAAAGAAATGTACATAAATCGGTATGAGTTTAGGTAAATCAAGTAAAAAACTAACAAAACAGTACAAAAATGTAAAAAATATTTGAATTGCGATTTTTGGCATTGGACATTTTATTTTTTGCAAGTTATGTAATCCCGGCGCATTCGCCATTTTTGTAAGCTTTTTTTAAGCAGGTAAAATATGTAATTAATTGTTGTAAATTTCATTGTAAAAAATCTTGTTCATGTAATTTTTTTTTAATATGGTTTTAAAATTTCAGGAAAAATACACATAGCAAAAATTTGTGAAATTTTTTAACTTTTTACGTATTAAGAAAAAAGTAAATTTCCGACGCTGATTATAATCATATAAAATTATAACGAATATAATAATTATTCCTTTTATTTTAATTCAGTAAGATTCTTTTTTTTCTACCAGCCCGCAAAAGAACATATTTGGTGCTTATAATTTTGTAATTTATCTTTAATTCAATATTTTGTGATTGTATAATTTCAATGGACTTCTTTTTACAAAAAAGACCCAACTGACAGTATTTTTAACGTTTACTTTTATTTTCTTAAATCAATTTTATTCAATTAAATTCAATTTAGCTTTTTTTCTGTAATAAAGGATATTTTTTTAAGTAAAATAATCTTAAGATGTTGTTTGCTACTTTTTTTAAAATGTGTATATTTTCGAAAATTTTACAATTTTTCCAAAACCTGAGAAAAAAACGAAAAAAAAAAGGATTTTCCTTCAGTTTTTTCGATTTTTTTCGACACTAGTTCTAAATTAGAGCAACAGCAGACTATTTAGGTTGAAATAATTCGATTTATAATTATTATAAATTTAATAGAAACTTGCCCCATACAAAAGTTAATATTAATGACGTTTGACACAATTGTTAATTGTCATAGTTATTTTGGTATAAACTATTTGAAAGTGAAACTTGCAGAAAACTGTATTCTGTTGCTTAGGAGGGTAAAATGTAGATGAAGTTGGTGGGGTAACATTAGAATTTTTTTTTATTTTAGCTTGTATAAAAAAAATGCAAATTTCATTGTTGAAAAATATAAAGGTAATAAAAATAGAGAAAAAACATACATTTAAAAAAAATATGTAACTACCTAAATATAATAGAAATGTAAATAAATCGATATGAGTTTAGGTAAATCAAGTAAAAACTAAGAAAACAGTTTAAAAATGTAAAAAATATTTGAATGGCGATTTTTGCCATTGGCCATTTTATTTTTTGCAAGTTTTTCATCCCGGTGCATTAACCATTTTTGCAAGTTTTGTTAAAAGCAGTTAAAATATGTAATTTTAGAAATAATTTTTCTTAATAGGGCCATCAAAAAAATAACTTGAATAGTTTTTCACACACCCGGCCAATATGTTTTATTTTTACGGAATATATAAAATTGGAAAATTTTCAGAAAAATTGACTTGTGAAAATAATTAATATACTATTAGTATCGATTAGGAAAAACTGGTTAATAGAACTTAATTTAACGTTGGCCGGCAAGGAGTTCAGATTTGACTCCTATGGATTTTTGTATTTGGGGTCAATTGAATTTCTATTTATTTTGTTCAAGTTTTATTAATTTCGTGATGTTAATAAAACGAATTATTAATTTTTTTATCATATTATTTGATATTATTTATTATTATAATTTTTAAGGGAAAAGTGGAAGAAAATCCCAAAATGTTTTTGTAAAGCGCACGCCCATACTTTTGGGGGTTAGCGCCCTTCTATGCTATCCTATCTCCACAATTGATCTGCCATGTTTACAATGTAAAGTCTTGTTATCCACATTTTCTCCTAGCAAGTGGGGGAATATAACTACTTTGATAATTCGAATTAAATGGTTAAAAAACAAAAATATAAACAGTCCAGATTTCATTGTTATTTTTAAGATATTTACTCTATAAATTAATACTTATAATATGTCAAAAAAGATTTGTTTAATTAATAAATCTGAGTTTATATCCTTTAAAAACCGTTATGCTGTGTTTTACTATTTATAAATTTAAAAAAAAAGTTTTCCACGTCAGTGGACAATTATGTAATGCAGAAAAGAGTGGAAAGTAGGCGTTCAAAGGAGCAACTTAAGAAACGACTACCAAGACAAATTCTGCGAGGCAAAATTCAAAGCTCTAATACGTTAGTTAACGCAACCAGATTTTCGCATTTAACTTGGTTTAGTGCATCTAGAAGCACAAGACGTTAATTACGAACTGAATTATTCTGTGCATTACATAAATTTAATATTAATTGCATGGAATATACAAGTCATATAAAAGCAGCTGATTTAAGAAAAAAGCGAATTAAATGAATTCTTAAACATTTTAATTGCATACTTTTATTACGTAGGTAATTATATACAGTGAACAATTAGGGTCATACAATGTACTTACAAAATCAGCACATTTTTATACCAAATCTTATTCAAAATTGGAATTTTCAATGCTATTATAAAAGAAATTCAATAAACCATATGTTAATAAACTTTCATCGTAAATCCAAATATTAATAGCTAACGCACTTTGATGCAATAAAAACGTTTTAGGACTGTACGCGATGCTTTTTCAAGCAAACTTTAGTTAAAATGTAAATTCTTCAATAAGACATTTATAGGGCATAACATTTTATAGCTTAACATAACTTTCGTTCATCCTTTCAACTTTTATTAACTCCAATCATTGATTGACAGAATTTAAAATGATATGTTTTTTATTTCACCTTGAATAAAATGTTTGGATTGGAAGATATTTTACCACCTAAGGCTATCGAACTAAGAAATTGTTAATACTTATTTTAAATAAAAATATATATATATCGCAATTTTATGGGTTCTTGCAAAAATTGCGAATTTGCTTCAATGGAGGCACTTCAGGCAAAAAATATTCTTATGTGTAATAAAAGATGCTTTTTATGTGAAAGTTTGCGATAAAATGTCTCGACATCGAAAAATTTGTTAAAGAAGAAGTGTTGGTAACAATGTACAGGGTAACCCATGTAAAAAGATATCAACATTCTAAAGAATGTTAAGAAAAACTTTAAATTAAATAATCTTATTCTTAATTTAAGATTTAACAATCGATTAGACCAAATTTCGAAAAATTCCCTCTATTCTGTTTTTAAAGATATAAAACTATACTCGATATAAATTTTCAAGAAACTCCCGCTTTCAGGAAAATGAAGATAAAATTTTTTTGCTAAGATTGACTTTTGGTTGGATTTTTATAAATGTTTAGAGTTTTCTTTACTTACATTTAAGACAGGCAGTGCACTTTTTAATTTTTTTTTACGTTTTTTTCAGAAAAATGTGTTTAGCTAGCTTTATATATCTCCACTGTGTTACCAATTTGAAATCCAAAATTTAATTCAATAAAAAAATTATTATAAAAATAACTTGAAATAAAATGTACTTAGTTCAGAAACTTTTGACTCCAATTTTTAATTTTATTTTTTATTAAAAATTGTATGCTTTTTTTAAATATGTATGTTCGTTAAGTTATTTTAAAAAAAAACCATTCCGATTCTTTGTTAAAAAACAATACCATTAATATTTTCTTTTAGTCACTGTATCAGTAAGTTAAACTCTAATTTATAAACACGTATTACCAAGTGATAGTGTATAAAAATCATTTTAAGTATTTTTTTTAACAAAAAAAAGTAACGAAATAGACATTGGTATCACAACGGACAGGGGTACACAAAGGACTTGATCAGATAACGTAAAAAAGAAACTATATAGGGTGGTACGATTTTAGAGTAATGCATAAACAAAATCCCTTGTAGTGGTGCTCACTTGCAGAATAACAACTTAGATTTCTAAATTGTAGAAACCTTTTTTCTTTGACTATAAGCTGGTGAAGGTCCCTTTTAGTACTTTTATATTGCGTGGAATTTTTTCTTGGATGTAATCTATATCAGTAGTTGTAATTACAAATAATTTTAAATTGGTTAATCATAAACTACTTTTAATAAAAAGCGACGGTAAATATCCACTTTGTTGTCGAAAAATTCTATTGCGTTACCCTAAATTCCATTGCGTTACCATAAGGTAACATAATGGACTCGGTAACGCAGTAGAAAAAGTTTTGTGAAACCATATTTAAAAAATAATAATAAGACATTACAGTCATTAAATACTCTCAATGAGCTTTGGTGCCCTAAAATAAACATAAACATGAAAAATAGTATTTTTTAATTATTACATTCGCGTTACCCGCACCTGTTTCAACCGATATCTTTTTCCTGATTGAATAAATAAATTCAGCTGAGTAATGTTTACTTCCGAACATCATTTGTTGATCGCGTGAGTACCAAAAAAGTTGCCATATATATGTTTTTTTAATATTCTATCGGTAACGCGACGGACGTAACGCAACGGAAAAAATGTCTGGGACATGAGTCAAATTTAAAAAAAGTAGATTAAAATTAATTAATTTATATATAAATTGTTTACTTTATGCACTAAGGATGTTATGGATTGCTATAAAGCAACACAAAGTTCTGGTTATTCAATATTTAAAAAAAACATGTATGTAAGTTTTATAAAACGCTAATGGGACATGCGAAAATGTGTGTTTCACAAAATAGGTTTACCCTTGCAATTAACATTGAAATAAGTATAGTCTAGTCGCACTTAAGACAGTAAAAAAATAATATTTATTGTGAAATACCCTGTATATAACGAAAATGGTTACTCACTTTCAGCAGCACGTGTAGATGCGTATCCTCCAGAAGTTGAAGCAAATGAGAGTACTCTTGTGGTTGAGACTCCTGTAGACAGTAAATATCGTCTAAAGAGTCAATGATTGTTGCGACAGCTGAAACGAACAGAAAACGAAATATAACAACACATTTATTTTCGCATTTATTTTATTGCAAAAATCATGTCTCTTTGTATAAAAACAAGATATTACAAACAAAATTGTTAGAATAAATTTGGCGTCTGCATTGCTACAAAATATTTTATATATATGTAAACTTTGTCATTCGAAAAGGTCACTAATAAATGTATTGGATGAAAAGGTCCGCTCGAATTTCAATACTATTCAGAGGTTTTACTTGTTGCTTTTGCAATTCCCTCGAACGTTGATCTTTACAATAAAAAATCCTAAATCAATAAAGTTTATTTACTTAAATACAATGAAATTTTCAATCTCAAAAATCAATAAAATTCTTACAAGTAGAAATTTTATTATCCACACAAAGTCGACAGCGGCGTGGAAAATTATGATGTTTCGCTCTTGCTATCATACCCGGATGATTTTGGATTTCGTCTATATTTTATTATATATAATATATAATATTTTATATTTGATTCGATTGCTTTGAATGTGTTTAATTTACTTAGTGAACTGATATTTTAGTATGCTTTTACTACCTCAGATATTTGAAAACATATAGGTTAACCTAGAAAGAGTAACAGTCACGGAGGATAGGTTTTAGACTTTTAAAACATTGTAAAAAATAATTAATTGCGGTTAAAAATCTGGAACCTGAGCTGTAATATCTACTTAATTATGAAAGATCAAAACAAAATAAAAGTCTAGGTTTATTAAATATCACGGGGTAACACCATCGGGGGCCATTTCGTGAGATTCACCCATATAGGATAGGTCAGTGACATCCAGTGCACGGTGGTCAAAATTTAAGTATAGGACGAACAAAAATGCCAACCAAAACTGATAGCATATTTTGATTATAGACCCCTTTGGTAACACTAACATGTATTTATCAAAATCCCAGCTGATCCTATTTTAAAGTTTTGCAAACTTTTTTGTTTTTCTATTTCTATATATTATTTTGCAATTATTGTACTTAAACTACCTGTACAATTTTAATAAAATTAAGCAAAATAATAAACTTTGTATCATTTAAATTACTTTACTCCCCAGTATTAATTTATTGAGTCACCTATTATTTTTTACCACTCAAAACAAAACATAACAAAAAAAACGAAGATTTATATCTTAAATACTTTTTATAACAAAAAATACTGGAAGTTTGTCTATGAAATAATTACAACTTGCAAATTTTGTAAAACAATAATTAAGGTGGTTATGAAAAAAATTGCTATACGTTATAACGCAAGTGACATTTTCCTTTAGTTGTTTATTTAATGTATACTTTATAAAGTTAAAAATAGTATTTTAAAATGAAAATTAAACCGAAATTCAAGTTAAGCCATGAAGAAAATCGAAAGAAGGTATGTGCTGGCTGTGAAGACAAAATTGTTTTTGGTAATCAAAAAATTCAGAGTTTAGGGTTTCTGAGAAAATATAAAAATTACTGCAGACTTTTTCAAACGAACACTTTAACTGTTTCAAAATTACCTACTTCAATATGGTAAAACGGTATTTTTCCTTAGCCGCAATTGCCAAATTTCCAAAATTTAGAAATTGCTAGAGAATTTCGCGGCAGCCAAGAATGTATGTGCTTTATCTGCAAAATGACAAGATATAAAGGGCATAAAAAATTATTAAGGGAAGAGGACGGACGAACGAACTAAGTTTTGATATGCTCTTCCTTTCTAGGGGATATCGCTAGATCTAAGAAGAATATTTGTACAGAGACTGAAGAATTTAAAGATACTGTTTCCATGTTAAAAACAATTCCATGTAAAACCCAAGAAAAAGTTTTACTGAAAATTTAAGGCAAGCAGTAATCGATTTTGCTTCAAAGAATCTTTAGTTATTTATTAGTTTTGTATTAGATACCTTAAAACAATAAATAAGATATTGCAAACTGTATTTTACATTATTTTGTATTTATAATGTAATTTATCAATATTTCAGTCATGTATTTGCCAAATTTTTAAAAACATGTAATAATGGTACTAGAGTATTTTATCGAAATGGCATAAACAATTTTAAAATACTAAGAAATATGCAAAACTTTAATAAAGGATCAGCTGGGATTTTGATAAATACATTTTTGTGTTACCAAAAGAGTCTATAATCAGATTATGCTATCAGTTTTGGTTGGCATTTTTGTTCGTCCTATACTTTAGTTTTGACCACCGTGAGTGGTTTTGTCAAATTTTTTTATAATTTTCATAGTCGGCATAAAAAGTTATTCGAGGATCCACTAAATGTTGGCAAGTTAAAGTTGGTTTATTACGTTACGCTCTACAAACAACATCGACTCGAAAACTTTTAATAAGTTTAAAGGGATAAGCGACTTCATAGGAAAATTCTAAGAAACAAAATATGCGGCAATATTAACGTTAACAAACAAAGTTTTAAAATGGTTAACCCAAAGTTAAAATCTCTTTAGTCAGACTAACGAAAAATCGAGCTAGAATTAATATTTTGACATTCTAAAAATTTGTTTGTATTTAACATTTTAATTAATTATTTTATTAAAAATGTTTCCCTGTGCCCTATTCTCATAGAAATAAGACAAGAGTAATATTTTCACACGAAAAAGTAATTAATTAATTAAAAAATGCCAACCTTTCTTTTTATTATGAGATGAAAACGCTAGCAAAGCTCAGGTCGCAGGTCACAAATTAAATTCTCATTGAATATTCAAGCTGTTGATTTTTCGCAGACGTGACATAGGTTTAGAAATACTTCAAAGATCCTCTTGAATATGTGCACTCGAAAATTGATTAATGGCCATTTTGCCTTCATTTGTGCACTTTTTTTCATCCATACTCTTTTTTTGTTTGATATGCATACTTGTGATGTAAGTCAAAAAGCTTATTTGGTTGTTATGAATAACTGTGCAATTGGATATAATCAAACATTTATTAAAATACATCATTAAAATATACATCATTAAAACTTAAATTATTATTATTTATTACACTATGATAGTTTGATTTACTAACATTGAGTACGTCCACCTATATTACTTACCTATTTTGATTATTTATTAAATTATTTTGCCTTAAATCTATTTTGAATGTTCAGTATATTTTTGACGTCTTTTGTCAAAAATATACAGGGACTCCATACAAAGTCATCGGTAAATAAATGTCAAATAGAAATTTTTTTTGTTCCATTGTAGCCCTATACTATAGTTGTATTTTATATAGATATTTAATAAAGCACTTTTCTGCAGAAAAGTTCTTTATTAAATATCAAAACTAAAATTTAAAAAGCATCATTTTTTGAAATATTTGTGTCGTTTTTTTAATTACTAATTAAATTGAAAAGGCAACAAAGTAAATGGGTTTCGTATAAGCATTACTCTTCGACTATTATTTGATATGTTTTTATTCACATCATGCCTAAAGTACCAAAAAATTTAATCTCGAATCTTATTTATTAAGTCTTATCAAAATTTAATATCGAATTGAAGTATAAAGGCGCCTTTATCTACTTTATCGTTCAAGCACACTAAAGTGCATCCATTAATTATTGACATTTAAAATTTAAACTTTGTATTAAATTGTATTTTTACTTGAAAGTGATTTTAAGAACCAAAAATGAAAAAAGAGCAGGGAATGGAAGTGGTAATGGAAGTGGCAGAGAAAGAGAAAGGAGACGAACATTTATGTCGTCGTTGTAAATCTGTTTTGTTTTTGTTGCGGTACCTTTACGCCCAAGAAAAACCAACGCAATATTTCATTACAAAATTTTATGAGATATACCTACTACTTTAATTTTGCAGGAATACTAAATGGACCTGATATACGACGTTTAAAGATCAAGCATTCAAAAATGCTCTTAAAGTTGACGAGCTTGTCGCATATGGCATTGAAAATGTTCATTGTTCATATCGGGCCTAAAATTGGCGCCAAATCATTGAAAAAATGCTTTCCGTTTTGCAAAGAATTAGCGTTAATATGTCATTTAAAATACATTTTCTTTTTTTTCAACCTGATAAATTTGCCGAACTGATGAACATGGAGATCGATATCACCAAGTAACTGCAAATCTAGAGCATTGGTAGATATCTATAAGTATAGCGAAAAGAAGTTAGATTCATTGCTAGGAGACATTTGCTGGAATTTGCAGCAAAAGATGTACGACGATGATGAGGATTAAGCACAATAATACTATAATCCAATTTGATATTTGATACGATTTAAAAAATTTAAGGTAAAAAAAAGCAAAATTATGCAATGCATTAACTTTTTAGGGCTTAATTTGGAAAAAGAGTTTGTAAAACTATCATAGTTATATTATTAATATTATAATTATCCACTCTAAAATACATTTTTTTTGTAATTGCGCACTCAACTCTAATTTGAATAAAGTTAATTCTACCTTAAATGCATTAGATTTAAGATAATAGTTTGATCTAACAATGTAAACCTCGTCTATGCCCGTAATTTGTCCCTTAACTCCGGTTAACTGCATTTAAGATTCCAATCTGGAAACCCCGGATTATATCGGCAAACTTACAAATTGTTTGTTCTACCGGGTCGTTATACCGTGTAGATTTAGTATTATTTTTATTTTTAATTTCTATATGCCGTGCATATTTAGATTAGTAAAAAAGATTAAAATACTATGTGAGCTGTATTTGAAACGTTTACATTCTTAACTGACATATTTTTTTACATTTACATAAATTTGGACATTTTAAAAGCACTGATTTGGTCCATTAAAGGTTTCAATTAAAAAAACATTTTTCTGAACGCAGTACGTGAGAAATAACCCAAATTTAAAATATTTAAAAAGAGGGGTGAATTCACGACATCCGTAAGTGGTTAAATCGGCTGTGCATTAGGCAGGGCTGACGACATTATGTTGGATGTTAGGAAATGTTTTTATAGAAATAAATTCAAATTTATAAAGCAAAGTAATCTTGTTACATTACATTTCTTTTAAATACACTCACAGGCAAAATAATCGATCCACACAAA